ACCCCGGCTTAAAAAAAAAAGAAAAAAAGTCTATTTTGTGACAAATTGGAATCGAACTACCAAAAAACTCCAAAAATATCGGCTCCTGGGGGCCGGCACAGCTAACAAAAAATCCAAAGCCTCGCCAGAAGGACTCGGTGTCAAACCGTAGGGCGTGACGGGGCCGCAATCGCTGCGAGGGCAGTGAAATGCAAACCCCAGGGGTTAGGAGTCAATTTTTTTCTTTTCCAGCATTGCTTTGCCGAACGAGGCAAGGAGTATAAAACCAAAGCAAGGGGGATGCGACTTTTTCTAGGCAAGCAGAAAAAACTACTCTAAAGGACTGGGGTTAACACGTCCCTGCGTAAGGCCCGGCCGTTCAGGCTCGAGTCGCTGTTTGAACAGACCGACGTATGTTCCTGTGCTGCACCAACTCTTGGTTTTTACTTACTGACACATAAGGCTGCCTCCGTTTAGGAGAGATAACTTTTAGTTTATTTGCCCTAGGAGATGACTTACGATATTCTTCCAAACGGAGCGAAAGCTGCTTTTATGTCTTCGGTTGTGATTTCCGGACTGAGGTCTCCGACAAAGACGTGGAAATGGTCTTTTTTGGGGGGGAAAAAAAGAGAAAAAAAAGGAAAAAAAAAAATGTCTTAATGTCTGAAGGTGAGCCCTGGACACATGCACAGAGCACAGCAATCTCACAGACAAAAACCAGTGATTTTAAGGATGTTACCGTGACATATGTTTTGTATTTTACAGATTGCTTTTAGGATCAGTCGGCATCTACCATAAAAAAATCTTAAAAGCTATTTACTTAGTGTGCCAAGGCTACAGGAGAAAAAAAAAATCTTCCTCTCCGTACGCCAGCGTTATGTTCTGACACTGAGGGAGATCACGAGCTGTTTGAAACCCGCTCGGCTGAAAGGTCTCGCGCTTTCTTCAGGAAAGGCAGGGCAACACTCATTCTAGAGCAGGACACGTTTTCGGTTGGGTTAAAGCGAAGAACAAGTCAAAAAAACCCACTTCGTGCCGCAACAGTTTGCTGTTAAAGCCTCGGAAGTTTTCAAAAGGCGACAGTTTGGGTTGCCCAACCGAAACACCACGTGAATCCAACGTATGGGAATCCATGTTCAAGGGAAACTAAGAGTAAAGGCAGCAGAAGGCAAAGGGCAATCCCTTCGAAGCAGGCGCCAGGAAAACAGGCATCGAGGAGGAAGAGGAGTCGTGGAGCTAAGGAGTTTTCCACTTGCAGCCAAACGTGTCACGCACCACCCCAGCAACCCAGAGATTTACTTAGAGCAGGTACCAAAGGCTTGAGCCCGCTCGGGTGCGGATGCAGCTGAGCCCCGAGGCCCTACGAAAATTCCAAGCCCGCCAAGAAGAGCAGTGATCCCTGGACACTAGACTGCCTTCTGACGCTGCAGGGCTATGAAAGGGAATCCCTTCCATAAAAAAACCCACAATTTGTAACAAACAAAAACCCCAGACGTGGCTTCAGGTGGTTAGAGAACACCCTGGTGAGATTTCATTCGATGTTTAAGAAGACACAATTACCTTGCGAACGCTGCGTGCTGACAACGGTACTACCTGATGACAAAGATTAGATTTGTTCTTCAGTTTATCAACACAAAGGCATCGAATAACTTCGTAGGATTAGGATCGAAACATTACTGGCTAAGATACTTCCCTATTACGTTTATAAACTACTCGTTAGGTTTACAAACTACTCGTAGGAAAGAAACGAGTACTCAAAACGACACTTACTGCTGGTGTCTTTCTTCTGGCTGCTTGGGGTGGTCGCCCAGTTCACTTTGACCTCCTGCAAACGTCGGGGGCTCACGTTAGACCTGGCAAACCCTCCGCTACGCGCAAGCGCTTCATCACGACATTACATGAGGCACCAGACGTGCAAGTCTGGGGTGAAAACTCATGTTTAAGGCCCGTTTCTCGCAGAGAGGATTCGTTTTTCCAAACTGAGTTTTGCTCACTAAGAGCAAAGACGGGAAACAGCCCAACCAGGGAATCTGGTCTAACGTTTGCAGAACACCCGCTTCGTCCCGAGGGATGAGATTTCACCCGCGCCCTCCCCAACAGGTTTTGTTTTCCCAACTCACCCTGTAGACACGACAGCTTACCTTACCCATTATCTTCCGGCCGTTCATGGCAGCCAGCGCTGCGGGCCCCGGGCCGGGCTCATCAGAAC